TCCCCTGGCCCTGGGATCTCCAGAATCTTCAGCTCAGTAATGTCACGTGCCCTAAAAACAGGACAAGAAAACCAGACATTCAGGATTTTTGCTTTCCAGATATCTTTGCAAAAAAACCCAGAAAAACCTCCTAAAGAAAAACATCCAGTATTGTACGCTGGGATTGTTCTGATGTCATTATCAATAGAAACAAGGGAATAAAAGGATTTTAATACTGAAACACACAGGATATTTCCACAGATATCAAAATACTTAACAAAAATAACAAATAACCATTTCAATACTTCTATACTACACCTGGATTTTGTTTGAAAGGTTCTGTTCTCAGCTGAAACAGGAATTAGTCAAGCAAAAACTGGAAGCAACTGGCCCAGACCTTTGCAAAAGTCTGCATTAATTTAACAGTTTCTAGATAATTAATTACTCTTAGCCTTGAGGCTTCTATTACTTTCAATCCATTTCTACAGAATGCTGCCCTTAGGTTAGTGCAGATAAATGCTCAGATAAAGACGGTACTTCCCATTTCCACAGAAAAAGAATGTAAAGAAAACTAATCCAGCACTGGGCACAGGCCAAAAGGAAACAAAGAAGTGATTACAAAGACCTCCATTTGCATTGACTGCAAGAAATACATCAGAAATTCTAATTTTAACTTAGTATTTATCCAAGTGGGATATAAAAGTAGACAGATTTCCACACACCTCCTGGAAGGATGTAGTTGTTGCTTTTTCCCCACTCTCTCTCTTCAAAACCCAAGGAAAAAAAAGTATTGACTTTGTGGAATTAATCTTATTGAAAAGTCAGTGACTCAGAGTCTTAACTATAACATTCTGGGAACAGGAAAATGTCCAGTGATGAGTGACTCTTATTTATGCCTTTTAAGCACAGTGTTACCAGGAACTGGTGGGAAAGAACTGCTGAGGGCAAAGCTCTAAAAAGCATGTCATCCTCCTCAGTTACCCAAAACCCTAACAACAGTCTCACCCCCAAATAACCTCCAAGCCTGAGCTACCCACTCTATGATGTGAGCCAGAAACTAATCTCCTGCACACAGACTAACACAAACCCCAGAGGCACTCAGTAGCAGCAAGGAAATTCAGGGCAAAGAGGTCATTTTGGGGGGGGGAAACCAAACAAAACCATCCAAACCACTGGGAAAAGGCAGGGGGGAAAAGAGACAAGGCACTAACCTGAAGGTGACTTCTGGCACGAGGCATTTGACCCCGTTATGGAAGGGCCGCGTCAGGGAAATGGTCTGGCTGACCTGATCCACGGCCGACACTCTTCCTTGGTAGACTCCCAAGCTTTCTCCACAATTAATCGACACAATGCTCCCGAGCCAGTCTGTAGCCATATTTCTGGCACACAGCTGCTGTGAAGAGACACAGACCTGGCTGTAAGAAGAGGCAGAAAAGGGACAACCTGAATTAGCATCAGCCACGTCCCCCGGCCCGTAACCCCGGCTCCCACCCAGGCTCCGGCTCTGTCAGCTTCTCCTTCCTCTGCAGGGAAGAAACAGCATCCCTATGGATCCCAACGATCCCAGGGGGAGGGAAAACCCCTGGATGGGGCTTTGTGATGGTACCACAGACGTCTGAGTGACTGATTTCAGGATTTACAGCTTCCAAGAGCATTTAGTCCTGCCTGTGGGCATTCTCCCTGGGAGTTCAAACGGGGAATTTATCTTCACCTCCCTGTTTAAAATTTTGGCACGTGAACACCAGGGCAGAACAGCTTCTGTGAACAATCACAGTGAGATAACTGATCTCTGCAGGTGCAAGTGAAAACCAAAACTTTTAAGGGAACAGAGAGACACAGAGGGAAGGAAAATCCCAAACACCGGAGCCCAGGACAAAAGGCTCCATGCTCTGCAGAGCCTGGAAGATTATTTATCACTGCCACAATTAAATAAATTACAGAAAAAAAAAAGAAAAAAAGTTGCTCTGCTTTCCAGCACCAGAATCAGGGACAAAACCCTCAAATTTGTTTAGTCAGATGTTCAGCCCCAAGACACCTGGAAGCAGCTAAACATGTCCTTTGATCTGAGATTCCCTCAGAACACAGGGAGGTGACAGGCTCACTAGCATCACCAGAGAGCAAGAGAGATGACAAGCTCCTAAATGTATAGATTTGCCTTTCATGTTGTAATCAAAGAGGGAGAATATGCTTGGTATTTACCCTAAGAAACACAGCAGATAACCGACAGAGATCAACATCAACATACAAATCACGCTCCTGGGAGAGGCATTTGACTTCTCTTCAAGCCTTTCCTGTGCTGAGCTTCTTGGAAAAAGGTGTAAGGAAAAAAAAAAACAAAACTCTGGATGCATAAAAAAATTGGACTTCCCCAACTTTCAGAGGACTGAAAATAGGGGATGCTTCAAAGGGTAGAAAACACTGAATTTGGTCAACAAGCCCTAAATTCATCAGGACCAGTCTCCTTCCTCTTTTCCTTCCTGTTCTGTGCATTTATATTAACCCACGATGACAATGTCTGCATCCCAAGGCGATGGCTGATAAAAAGTACTCTCAAAACACAGACAACACATCCCTAAGAACCTGCAGCAAAACTAAAACTTCATTCCCTCTCCTGTTTTGTTTTTTATGTCCCTTAGGAAATAAGGGAAAGAGCTCAGCACACCTCATCACCTTACACGGATTCTTTCGAAAAACAAGAGCCTCCTTTCAGTAAAAAAAAAAATAAATAAAATCTATGTTTGAGTGCAAATATAAACTGAACTATCCCAGGGCTGGATCTTCTGTGGGCTGCCCTGATCCCCACAGGAGAACACAGGGTCCCCCATAGGTAAATCACAGGGACCCCTCCACAGGTAAACAAAGGGTTCCCCACCGGTAAACACGGGGCCTCCTCGAAAGGTAAACACGAGCCCTCCCCCCACAGGCTAACACGGGGCCCCCAGCGCTGAGCACCGGAGCCCCGCAGGCCTCCCGCCCCCGTGGCTGCCCCCGGCCCGGCCTCCCCACCGCGGCCCGGGCAGGCCGGCCGGGGCCTGGCGCCACAGCCGCGCCCCGCGAGGCCCAGCCCTTTCGGAAGGCCCCGTCTCGCCCCGGCCCGATCCCGCCGGAGCCCCCGGCGTGGCAGACCGAGGTGTCCGTCCCGCCGCCCCCCCGTTCCCCTCACCCTCCGCCGCCGCCGCCGACGCTCCCGCCTCACGGCCGCCCCTCCGCCTCGGCCACGCTCGGCCTGACGCCACTTCCGGCACCGCCCCCCTCCCGCGCCGCTCCGGCCGCGCCGGGGCCATAGAGAGGTGCGGGGCCGCCGCGCCGCGCGCATGCGCAGTGCCCGCGCTGCCGCGGCGCGAAGGAGCTGTCCTGAGCGCTTTGTCACCTCTGCCACCTCTGCCACCTCTGCCACCCCTGCCGCACGCCCGCCGTCCTCGCACCGTCTCCCCGTCCCCCGCTGACACCGCTGTCACACATTCGCCCGCACCTCCACGGCTGTCAGCGTGTCCCCACCACCTCCATCGCATCTCCGTCGCCTCTGTGAGCTCTGCCGCCTCTCCGTCGCCGCTGTCGCGTGTCCGCTGTCCCACCCTCATCACGGCCGTCACATCTGTATTGCTGCTGCTGCTGCTGCTGCTGCGTGTCCTCTGTCGTGTCTCCACTGCTGCTGCCAAATGTTCTCCATCTCCTCCATCATCCCTCCATCCCCTTCATCACACCCCCATCACCTCTGTCACCTTTCCATCCCCTCCATCACACCTCCATCACCTCTGTCACCTTTCCATCCCCTCCATCACACCTCCATCCCCTCTGTCACCTTTCCATCCCCTCCAACACACCCCCATCACCTCTGTCACCTTTCCATCCCGTCCGTTCCCACTGTCACCTCCATCATCTCCACCCCCTTCACCCCCTCCCTCACACCTGAATCACCTCTGCCACACCTCCATTCCACCTCCATCATCTTCATCCCTTCCACCCCTTCCACTGCGCCTCCATTCCTTCCATCCTCTCCCTCTGGCTCACCGGCAGAGACACAGACACGTTCATCTCCCACTTTCTCCTCGTTACCACCCGCTCTCCCCGCTCCGCAGCTGGGAGCTGTTTTGCTCATTACCGGGAGGAAGGAGCGGGTGGAGTGCTGGATCCGTCTGCCGGTGGCTAAACACGGGCTGGGCCGGGAACACTAATTAAGAGCAAAATCATTCTGACAGCAGCCGGTAACAATAACAGGGACGTGAGCGAGATCACAGCAAGAGGAAGGTTTCCCTGCTGCAGAGCAGCTTTCCATACCACAACACCAAAATTAAAAATAATTCCAACAGGGCTGGAAATGCTGGAGGGCTGATCCCTGCAGGGATGCCACTTCAGGGGTGCACAGACCCCAGTTTTCCGTGTACTAATTATTTGCATGGGAATTTAATGTTTATAGCCTTTTTTGTTTGTTTTAAGGGAAATTATGCAAAGCATTGGATTTCATTGTGCTCTGAGATGGGGATAAGTGATGGCACGAAACATCCCTCCATGGATTGCTCCCTGAGAGGCGGGTTCTGACCTATTGATTCCATTTTGAGGGGGACTAGAAAGGCTAGTCCTGATTTTTAGTGAAATCCTGAACTGATCCAGAGCTTGGCACCTCTCTGCAAATCCCAGCTGAGACTTTGGTCCTCCCGCTGCCTAGAGTCAGCTCCCATGGGGACTAAAAACTTACCCCAATGCCACTGGTGTCGCAGCCCACTCATGTCCCATAGGAAAAAAAACCTGATGAGAAACATCAAGTCAGATTTCTAAGGATGATAGAGAGGTGTGGGGTGTTTATTCACCCTAAAAATCATTTCCCAGTGGAATAAGACCAGCAAGAAACTTAAGAAACTTTCAGATAAGCATTTATTGGCTTAGAAATATTGTGTGATTTCTATTAAAGCACACGGCTGCATTCCATACAAGTACAAACAAGCAGGAATTGCTGCTCTATTTGCCATGAGGCTTCATCTTCCACTGGCTAAAGCAGAATGCAGCATAAGGCACCTCCTGCAGTCCTCAAATCCTTGTTCCTTTAATTAGTCTGGATATAGAAATCTATTGCTTGATAAGGAAAAAACCCTATTAATTAAAAAAAGCAGCAAATGCACAGTTAGTCTGAAAGCCAGAAGTGTCCTACTGTTCCTCTGTCCTTCCCGTCCCTTTTTCCCAGTCCTTTGATATTTTCCAGGCTTTGTGTTAGGAGTTCAGTTAATATCTCAATTTGGGAGCAGCACTGCTTATGGACATGTTTATTTTTCCTAGCAGTCTGCCACCAAGGATTGGTAGAAACACTCGGGAATTCACTTCATGAGTTAACATTCAAGGAATTCAGGTGTGTGGGTGCACACAGGACAGGTCCTCTTCATGTGGGTTCTGGTGCAAACTTGAGAGCCCTTCAGAAGGCACCTGGAGCAATGGGAAGCACCTATTCCCGTTGGCACAAAGAGCTGAAGGCTTTGGAAAACAGGCTTTCACCCTGGGAGATAAGGCTGGTCAGGTTTCTCTGAGGTTTGTTTATATTTGAATGAGGGGAGTTGTCCATCGCAGCTCCAGCTCAGGGCAGAGAACATCCCACCAACATCCCACCCTGCTTCTCCCACCCCCAAGGATCCTCCTCCCCACCACAGGGCTGCGACCCCCCTGGATCTCTCCAAGAGGCATGAGTGCTGGACCTCTGGTGAGCATCCATGTGGGAAAGGGTGACGGAGCTGGCTCCAGGAGCTGCGAAGAGCCCAACAAAGGCAGCTTTATCCCACCCTGCTCCCATCTCCATGAGAGGAACAAGCCTCCAGTGAAGCAACACAACAAGGGGCTGTGCCTTATCAAAAGCAGGCTAAGTGTCTGACGCTGAGGGCTGGCTTTCTTCTGCAAGGCAGCACTTCTGGTGGCTTATGGAGAGCTTTTCCCGGGAAAACGCTGCTTGATCTGGAAACATTCGCACTTCTTGTACTTCATGGTCAGTCCGTACTGAGGGGTGATGTCCACCTCCTCCCCAGGGCGGAGGCTGAACTCCAGCTGCTGCAGCAGGGTGGTCAGGAAGAGGAAGATCTCCCACCGGCCGATGGTCTCCCCAATGCATCGCCGCTTCCCCAGGCCAAAAGTCAACACCTTTTCACTCTCTGTCCTGTTTATCTCGGTCCCCTCAGGGTTGAGGAACCGCTCGGGGTTGAAGGCTGAGGGTTCCTTCCAAAGGTTCCTGGGGCAGGAAAGAGACACGCCTGAGGATACTGTTTTATCGCAGAATCACAGAATGGTTTGGAAACCTTAAAGGTCATCTTGTTCCACCCCCCCGCCAAGGGCAGGGACACCTTCCACTATGCCAGGTTGCTCCAAGCCCTGTCCAACCTGGCTGTGAACACTTCCAGGGATGGGGCAGCCACAGCTTCTCTGGGCAACCTGTGCTGGGCCCTCACCACCCTCACAGAGAAGACCTTCTTGGCAATATCCCATCTAACCCTGCCCTCTGGCAGTGGGAAGCCATTCCCCCTTGTCCTGTCCCTCCAGGCTCTTGTCCAAAGTGCCTCTCCAGCTTTATTGGAGGTCCTTTAGGCACTGGAAGGGGCTTTAAGGTCTCCCCAGAGCCTTCTCTTCTCCAGGTGAACAACCCCAGATCTCCCAGCCTGCCTCCAGGGCAGAGGGGCTCCAAACCTTGGGGCATCATGACAGTTTTCACCCACTGTGATGGGGTCAGTGACCAAAAAAATCTTCTTGTAGAGGGAAGCTTTGCAGTGCTGTCTCATTCCACCACCCAAAAATAAAACCTCTGGCAAGCTCTATTCCTGATCTAAAATGCCAACTCTGTGTCAGACTCCATCAGCTCAGTCTATTGAAACCTCTGTTCCAAGCTCAGATTGTGTTTGCCTGTGCAGATACTGGAGATGGATTTAATTCTGCATGCAACCACCACAGACCCTGCAGTTTCAACACAGAAACCAGTCAGCAGCCCTTCAGAAAGCAAGGATGGAGACCAGAGGGCTTCCTCTTTTTGAATCCTCCCAGTAAAACTTCCCAGTGTGTCCCAGCTTGGCTGCTGGGAGGTGCCAGGTGGGATTTAACAGTGCCTTAGCTGAGAATTTCTGCTTGGATATGGGGAATCCTCTCTGCCCTAGAGACAGCATTCCCATTTCATGCTCACCAGAGCAGCAGGAGCAGAAGGAATATTGGCAGGTTTCTGTGCTGCTGGGGTATTTGAATACAAATATCTTGAGTTTCTGATCCAAAATACCTGGTCTGGGAACCACCTTCTGTATCAAGCCTTGATCAGCTTACTCCCCACCAAGAGGGTCTCTACTGGGGAGCAGTGGAGAGACAAGATGGGACTTTGGTTTCCAGACCCCCTTTAATTCCCAAAACTGTTCATCAGCAATCACAACACAAGCCTATTGAGTTTACTAAGAGTCACGTCATGACATTTTGCTCCCTTAAAGAGGGAACCAGGCCATTCCCATTGAGCACATCCAAAGCCATCAACCCAGATCACAAGATCTGCTTGGCAGGAGGATCTACTGATTCCTGATTGTCCAGCAGCCTGAGCTTCCAGCCCTTGTCCTGTGCATCGAGGGCATCATCACATAAACTGGGTAAGCCCTGGCACTGGGGAGCTGTGGAACCTGGACCAGCTCCACGCCCAGGAGAGCCAAGGCTGAGCTCAGCATCAAATCCACGTGATTTTTGGTTCTGTCTGCCTTTTCCTTCGTGATCCTTTCATCTTTTGTCATAAGGATTAGAGTAATCCTAACACCAAGAAAACCCATGGCAGCCCAGATGAACACAGGGATTTGGAATACTCACTCATCATGATTCACTTGCCACTGGTTGATAAACACACAGGTGTTCTTGGGGATGTAGTAGCCATTCAGCACTGTCGCTTTTGTTGTGCTGAAGGAAACATGGGTGGGAAGAGAAGTTAGAGGAGACCCACAGCGTCATGACAAATCAAAGCCTGGCAAGTCCTTCATTACCCTATTTTTGCTCTTAGGACTGGCTAGAAAATACCACAGATTGTCTTTTGGGAGATTAAATAGCCTGGCCGTACTGTCCTCAAGCAGAAGGATTCCAGTTTCATTTCACAGCTCATGCCAGATGAGTTGTGATGTGGTCTCTCCCAAGACAGGAGGAAGTTATAAATCCAGGTGTGTCTACCATCCCTCTGCTAGCAAAGATTTTGGAGCGTAACTACCCTCAAAGCAAAGGATTCAACCCCAGAATGTCAGCAAGCTGGAATACTTCCCCCTAGCAGGAATCAATTCCCAGGCAATGATCTGCCTAAATGGAACCTCCCAGAAAAAACACTCCAAAAAAAAAATACAAACAAAAAAAAAGGTGTCAGCTGCTCCAGCCCATACCTGTGTGGGATGGTGAAAGGCATGAAGGAAGAGTGCCTGAACATCTCCAGGATAAAGGCTTCTGTGTAGGGCAGCGTGCCCCGGTCCGACAGCCGTGGTCTCCTCTCCCGGCCGATGGTCTGGTCTGTGGGAGGTAGAGTAGAGGAAGAAGGTTGGGACCAGTGCTGACCAGAGAGGTTTTGGTCCCAGAGGAAGGTGGTTCGTGGACTCACCTAGTTCTTTCTGGATCTTCTTCTGGATGTCGGGGTACAAGGCAGCGTACATGAGGCTCCAGGATAAGGCAGTTGTCACAGTGTCAAAGCCTGGATGGACGTGGAAAAGGCATTTAGTCACCAGAAGAGGACAGGTGAGTGGGAGTTACAGATCCCACCACTCCAGATGTTTGCCATAGAGTGATTTCCCCGTCAGCTGTCACTGAAAAGCTCTGGCCACTGCTAAGGAGTGCACCCAAGGGATCAACAGCATCTCCACACACCCAAACATGGCCAAGGTCTCACACCAACAGCTTCACCTCCCCCTTCAGCCTCCAGCACCATGGCTTTACTCTCAGAAACATTCTCACCTGCCCCAAAGAGGTCGTTGACAATGTTGATGATCTTCTCATTGGAGAGCTGGCCATGGGTATCCTCCCCAACACTCTTCTCCTGGCAGTGCTCAATCAGCGAGTCCGTGATGTCCCGGATGTGCTCCTGGGGAAGAGCTGGTGGCTCAGGAACATCACAGACACATAGGGATGGGGAAACATCCCCCAACTAGTGCTGGCTCCCAGAGAACAGATCGGAGTGCTCCAAGCAGCTTTCCTGGGCGAGGTGGGGGAATGAGGGTGTACCCTCTTCCCCACTTTCCCAGGCAGCATCTCTAGCAGTTACATCTCCACCCACATCAAATGGCATCCAAGCTCTTACCTTATCAAAGCTGGTGTAATGCTCCTGCACAATCTTTTGCACAAAGATGCTGAATCGCCTGTTGATGTCCTTAAAGAGCTCCATGGCATGGCTGGGAAGGTACCGGAGCAAGGGGATGAAGTCAGCAGGGTGGCCAGCACCAGCCACATCCCCAAATTCATTGCCTAGGTTCACCACGCTGAGCAGCTCCTGGTCACTGTGCTCGTAGCGCTTGCCAAAGCACATGGCACAGATGACATTGGCCACCGACACCACCAGGTACTGGTTAAGGTCAAAGCTCTTCTTCTCCTCCATCACCTGCAGGAACTTGGCGACCAGGTACTCAGCCTCCTTGGAGACGTGCTCCTCCAGCAGGCAGGTGGAGGAGGAGGTGGGGCTGGGGGCAATGGAGAAGGTCCTCAGGGCACTCTGGGCCAGCTTCCTGCGGGCTTTCCACACCTCCCCAGAGTCGGGGCTGAAGGCCAGGCTCTGTCCATTCGAAATGTACTGGAAGCTGTGGAGGTCGGGGCGCCCCTTGAAGTCCTCTCCTTGCTTCACCAGGGCTTGCCTGATGGTCTCCAGCCCACTCAGCACCAGCACAGGCCGCATGCCAATCCTGACCTCCATCACATCCCCATACTTCTGGCTCAGCTTGGTCAGGGCCAGGTGCGTGTCCTTCTGCAGCTCCAGCACATTCCCGAGGATGGGATAGCCCCTGGGTCCCGGGGGGCTCTTCAGCCCCTTGGGCACGTGCTGCTGGAGGGACTGCAGCAGCAGGAAGACCAGGCAGAAGACAGCAGCCACGAGGAGCACCTCGGTGGCTGAGATGAGCCCTTGGCTCCCCACCGGCAGCATCGCAGCCTTCACCATTGCTGCCAGCAGGTAGAAACCCTAAAGAAGTGAACCAGAGTGTGGGCAAGGGCTGGCATCAGCAAAGGGCTGAGTCCTGTGGATGTTCCTGATGCTGAGACAGGGCACCCAGAGCCCTGAAACAGCTCAGGCTGACAGACCTGCCCATGCAGCACTGGGGGTTTCAAGGGGCAGAAGTTGGAGACCTGGAAAGACTCCAAACACAGTCACCCATCGCTAAAAGGGAGACCTCAGCCCCCCAGAGCCTTCACACTCCTTCCCCCAGAGAAGACCTTTAGACTGGCAGGCAGAATTCTTAGTAATAAATCAAAGAGAGGCAGGTCCATGAAGCACCGCTAGGTTCAGACACTTTTAGTAGTGACTGCACAGGACTGTTGGCAGGAGAGCTGGGCTTCACTTCTGACCCACAGGTGCTGCAATTTTCTGCACTTTAGGAAACACCTTGAATTAAAAAGCAGGTTTTTTTGTTAGCCAGGATTGGAAGGAATAGATCCCACAGCTTTTTCCTCTGCATGCCAGGGAAGCGAAGGTGCCCTCTTAATCACAGGACCTCTTTTTTCTCCTGCAAAGTGTTTTACAGTCCACTTGACTAGAGGAGAGCTGATCCTGATTTGAGTCACCCTAGCCTCTGCTTGCCAGCAAACTAATCACAGCATTGCCAGGAACCTTTCCAAAGTCTGATGGCCACAAAAGATAACCATGGCTGTAGCAGGGGGCCGGCAGGATTAGTGCACCCTGCTCCCAGCTCTGTCCAAAATGATGGAATCATAGAATACCTCAAGTTGGAAGGGACCCATAAGGATCATCGAGTACAATTCCGAGGTCCTCACAGCACTAAATCCTTCAGAAAACCCCAAGCAGGTGTGGGAAGAGGTTGAGTGTAAAATCCCACCTCCCCTAGGGCTTGGCAGGGTGCTGTAGCACCCCACGGGACACCAGTGGAGTGATGATTCTGGGGGGCTGTGGGGGCCCGTGCACCGCAGTGGGTGCAGCCTAGCTGAGACCCCCTCCCAGTCCACGGCAGTGGAAAGACCCGTGAGGGGACAATTTCCTCCAGGACCCTCAAGAAACCACCTACGGATAGGCTGGGGAAGGATGATGCGGGAGATATAGGGGAGCGGAAAGTGAGGACAGCCCACGTCGGGGCTGTCCATCACTTGGGGGTGCCTCGGGGGAGCTGGAAGCGGCCCCCCGACACCTCTCCATCGTTATTCAGAGCTCTCCGGGTACTCACCTCGGTGCGGAGCGGGGCGGCGAAGGGGCCCGATCCCGCGGCAGGTGCCCGCTCCCTCCGGCTCCTGCTTTTTATGCATCGCCCCATGCTCTGATTGGTCCGGCCGCCTCCCGTCACGTGACCCCCAACTCCCCAAGAACTCCCCGGACCCCCCCACGCCCCCCTCTCTCTCCCCGGGGGTTCCCCCCACGCGTGGAGTGCGGGATCCCCGCTCCCCCGCGCATCCCTGGAGGGGAGGCTGGGAGGTCGGCGGTGGGAGGAAGAAGGAGGGAGTAAGGGTCCCAGTGGGTCGTGGCGTGGGGGTGGGGGGTGGAGGGGTGTCGGTGCCGCCCGTGGGTTCCAACCCGGGGCGGGCATCGCGTGCGAAGCGGGCGGGATGTTTGGGCAAACCCGCACCGCCCCGGTCACTCCAGTCACGCTACCGGCAGGATCTTAAAGGCGCCGGTCCCGCGCCCCGCTGCTCCCCACGACCCCGCCGGGGGGCGCCCCGGCTCCCCTCGCCCCCCCCAAACCCGCAGGGTTCCATACACACGCACTCGCGCTCCCTGCCTCGCTGCCCGCAGCACCGGGATATCTCCGGTGTCCGGAGCCGCGGGGCGAGCGGGAGCGTGGGAAAACCGCTCCGGAACGCGAGGTGCGGGGCAGGAGCGGGGGGGATTGGGGTATTCACCCCTCCACGGGGCTCCGCGAACACGTGGGGATGAGCGTGGACCCTCCCACCGCGGGGCTTAAGCGATCACACCCCTCCGCGGGGGCTTTGCTCATCCCGCCGCCGGTGTTCCCGGTAAAGCAGAAGCGGGGGTCACCGGCCCCGTGCGTCTCCCCCCACTCTACGCTGCGGGACCTCCTCGCAGCCCCATCGGGTCCCCGTACGGAAGAGGCGGCGATGGCGCCTCGGGGGTCACGGCCCCGGCTGCCCCGGCCCGGTTAAAGATTGCCCAGGTTCGCGTGAGAAGCCACCGTGCCCTTTGTCACCTCTGTCCCCTGGTGACGGAGCGACCCGGGGGGCGAGGTGGGGCTGGGATGGGGCAGAGGGTGCAGCCAGAGGGAATGGGTCACGTCGGGGAGGAACGCTCGGGAGTCCAAAGGGAGTATCGGGCAGAGTTTGCAGTCCCAATCCTAGGTCCCCGTGGGGTGACAGGCCAGGATCTGCCCTTCATGGAGGACAAGGGGGACCATCCCGTACCTCAAATCTCCCCCCCCCTCCACCCGTATCCTTGTTCCCAGCCCAGCTGCAAAGAGATGGGAGACATGCCAGGGGGGGTCCCACCCCGCCGGGGGGTCCCAGAGGTGGCATTAGGGACATCGCGTGCGAAGGGGCTCTGGCCAGACCCGGGAGGGCTGCCCCGGTCACTCGCAGTCACGCTATGGGTGGGTGGGGGGGAAATGGCTTTTAAAGGACCAGGGCGGTGGCCCCACGCCTGGCCCGGGGTCAAGGCGGCGCCAGAGGAGCTCAGGATCAGCTCGGAATCAGCTGCCCCCCCAGCTGTCTGGGTGTTAGGGGGAGTGGGGGGTCCCCAGCACACATCATCGGGGTCAACAGGGGTGCACCCCTCTGCCACAGGATGCTGTGTCATCTGCAAGGGGACAGCAGCCCCCTTGTCACTTGTGTCCCCCTCGAACGGACACAGTCATCCCAGCCCTTTCCAGCCACAAGGAATGAGACAGAGGGTGGTTTCCCACCCTGCAAAGAGGAGAGGTTTCAGTTGTGCCACTACAATTGTCCCCTTTTGGGGTCCAGGGGACACTGAACAGTGCTCTGACCCCCGGGAACACACTGTGGGGCATGACCACAACTGTTCCCATGGCTTGGGATGCACATAAACCTCAGGTGGGGACGCCTCCAGCACGGCAGCACCTCATCCAGCGTGCGGGGGCACCCACGCCCACGGCTTCCAGGTGTGCCCACGTCCCTCACCCGCAGGTGTGAGCGTCCACCCCATGTACCTGTGCAGCAGTGCAGGTGTGTCTCTGCACAGACAGACCACACACAGACCTTGCACGCACAGAGCATCCGTGTTCATGGACACACTCATGGACTCAAACATCCTTTGTGCTCCTTACAGACCCGTAACCCTCCTGTATGTGCACGTGCTCATGCACACACATGCCCTGCCACATGTGCACATGCCTGCAGGCGCCGTCATCCTCCTGCTCACGTCTGTCCTTGCACGCACACGCTGGCACGGCCAATCCCGTGGGGTGGCGAGCCATGGAGGGAAGTGTGGTACAGGACCCACCAGAGGCAGGGGGCTGGCAGCATTGCCCCTGCTGCTTCACAGCCAGTCCTGGGGACCCAAGGGCTCAGTGAGGGGTGGTGGCTGGGGGTAAGGATGTGTGTTTGGGGGGTGAGGCTGCCTGGCACTCAAGGCAGCAGCTCTTAACACTGTTCTCATCAGGATGCACCCTGCCCTCTCAGGGCTTGGCAGCCAGCACAGAGGAGCCAGGGAGGGCTGGGAAGGAGTGGAAGAGTGGCAGGTGGGCCCCAGGGAATGCCTTGGGGATTCCTGGTTTGACCCCAGGACCCTCCCCAGCTTCTCCAGAGCTTTGGGATATGATGGATCAGGAGAGGTGGTGGTGAGTTCCCCATCAGCACAAGGCCACCAAGGTCTGAAATGCTGCCAGGGGAAGGAGGGGGGTCCCTCAGTCCTCTACCCGCCCAACCCCATGCAGTGGATCCAGATAGATCCATAGGGCTGGGAGACAGTGCTTGTCCCAGACAAGCACTGCCCCTGCGAAGCTGCAGCCTGCCTCCCAAAAAGCATTTCCAAGGGTCTTCCTCACCAGTGAAGCTGGGGCCGGGAGGGCTGTGACATTCCTCGGAATTATCAGCAGGAATATTAGCAGCCAGGGTTTTGTAACTGTTCTTGCCAAACTTTAATGAGTGGCGTCATTGCTATTAATGAGTCCGATTAGACCAGATGTTGAAATCCTTTATTAAATATTAACTCAGCTTTTACCCGGGCCAAATTCCCACTGGAATTTTCAAAGACTGAGTGAAACTTCGGGCCAAACCTCAAAGCTCTGTCTCATTCCTGCTCATCCTAGCTGCACTTCCCGAATTTCCCCAAATTTTTGCCCCAGCTCAAGCAGCAGCCTTTCTGGCTCAAACACTTCCTGACCAGTGTCACACTGGTTTGGGGAGGATGAACTGCCTCAGCCTTGCCCTGTGGTGCCTCTTTGCCTCTCCTATCTCTCCAGTTCACCTCTTCCCCTCTGCCCCGCCACTCCTCCTCCTCACTGCCTGTTTGCCCCAGAGGAGCCAGGGGAACAGAGCCAGCTGCCTTCTCACGCAAACCTGGGCAATCGTTAACCTGAGCCTGGCTCTGCTGCTGGCCCAGATGATCCTGCCACCACCAGTCCTAGGACATGGAGGCCTTCCAGATGTTTCCCCAGGGATGGAGAGGGCTGTGGATGCGGATGCCTTGCCACAAATGCATCCCCTTGCTCACAGCCTGCAGCTCCCAACACCTGCAGAGTGGCCATGGAGGTGACAGCCCTCTCTGCATGCTGGGAACAGCCTGGTCAGCCCAGAAAAGGTTTTTGGGGAAGTGCTGGCACCCACACCCCACAGGGAAGCGATGCTGAGAGCACATGCTCCATCCTCCCCAGGGCAAGGTTTAGGGACCCCTTCTTATTCCCTATCCTAGGGACTCCTTCTTATTCCCTGTCCTAGTGCCCCACCTCTGCCTTCCCATCCCAGGCTCTAAGGCAGGCACATGCTCTGTGCAGGAGGAGAAGTCACCATTTGTGCCCCTCAGAGCCTGTTGGAGGGGAGGAAGGCTCTTCCATGACTTCTTGGGCTAGCTCCAGCCATTTGTTAATGGGTAGCTATTTCCAAGGTCATTTGTGTCCTATCTTTCTGATCACACCCAACTGTGCAACGAGGGGAGCACTTAAAGAGTCGTGTTCTTGCAGATAGCAGGAGAAGAAGGTTCAGGAGGCAGAGGACGATCCCTGCTGCTCCCCAGGGCGGGCAGCTGCCAGATACCCTCTGCCTATCTCTGCTGGGAGCCCCGCACAGTAGAACAAGCACAAGAAACTGCAGGTAGGAGACAAAATGTGTGTGTGTGTGGGTTGGAATGTGGATATAGGACTTGGAAGGTTATATTTGGGTCTCCCCTCCTGTCCTTGCCCACCCAGTGAGCCGTGTGTTCCCACATAGCAGCCCTGTGGCGTCTCCACTCCCCGTGACCCCACATGCTGGTGGCCACCCAGCAGGTACAGCCTTCTGGCTATAACTCCTCATGGATTTGGTGGTCTTGGGGTTCACTGAGGAGCTGCTGTTCCTCTCCTCCTGCTTCCCTATGCTTTGTTGAGCTGCAGGTTTTTTCTGTGCCTTATTAAAAGACAGTCTCCCCCGGGCAGGAGCCATGGCTGTGCCAGTGGGTGCTGAGGTATTCTGTTGGGGAAGGGGTGTCACTGAAGGCTCTGGGAGGCTGAGGTCTCCCTTTTAGCAATGGGTGACTGTGTTTGGAGTCTTTCCAGGTCTCCAACTTCTGCCCCTTGAAACCCCCAGTGCTGCATGGGCAGGTCTGTCAGCCTGAGCTGTTTCAGGGCTCTGGGTGCCCTGTCTCAGCATCAGGAACATCCACAGGACTCAGCCCTTTGCTGATGCCAGCCTTTGCCCACACTCTGGTTCACTTCTTTAGGGTTTCTACCTGCTGGCAGCAATGGTGAAGGCTGCGATGCTGCCGATGGGGAGCCAAGGGCTCATCTCAGCCACCGAGGTGCTCCTCGTGGCTGCTGTCTTCTGCCTGGTCTTCCTGCTGCTGCAGTCCCTCCAGCAGCACGTGCCCAAGGGGCTGAAGAGCCCCCCGGGACCCAGGGGCTATCCCATCCTCGGGAATGTGCTGGAGCTGCAGAAGGACACGCACCTGGCCCTGACCAAGCTGAGCCAGAAGTATGGGGATGTGATGGAGGTCAGGATTGGCATGCGGCCCGTGCTGGTGCTGAGTGGGCTGGAGACCATCAGGCAAGCCCTGGTGAAGCAAGGAGAGGACTTCATGGGGCGCCCCGACCTCCACAGCTTCCGCTATGTTGCAGACGGGCAGAGCCTGACCTTCAGCCCCGACTCTGGGGAGGTG